CTGTGGTTTGTTTTTTTTTTTTTTTTTTTTTTTTTTTTTTTTTTTAGGTTTTTATTAGGCTGAGGTTGTTTCTTTTCTTTTTAGATTTTTGCCATAGGGCACATATGCTTTCTGGAGAAAGAGAAAATGAAAATCCCCTGGGGGACGGGGTGGAGAGAAGATGGCCATGCTGAAATCCCTTCTCCACCTTTTTTTTCTTTTTTTTTGAGAGGTTTTGCCATAGGGCGCGTGCGCTCACCAGACAGAGAGAGAGAGAGAGAGAGAGAGAGAGAGAGAGAAAAAAAGAGAGAAATCACCCCACAGGAATCCCTTCTCCTCTACTCTCCCCTCAGGATCTTGGGTATGCACGCACACGCGCCTGGCGTGAGTTTTAAGCCACCAGGTCCGGGACGCGAACCGCGGTCGACTACGTGGGGGTCCAGCGACATAGCCATTACGCCAACTGCTGGTTCCCTCTGTTCATTGGTTTTACATTAATTAACTTCATATCTTGAACTATCTTTGTATTCCAGGAAGAAGCCAAATTTGGTTATGGTATATAATCCTTTTAATTTGCTGTTAAATTTGGTTTGCTACTATCTCTTTTGCTTTCCCTTAAAGTTTATTATTTTATTCAGAAAGAGAGGTACCCCTCAGGGTCTTGTCATGCCACAATCCCCTTCCTTCAGCTCTCCCGCTAGTCAAGATCTTGGATGCACATGCCCAGTATGTTTCAGGTCAACTCAGGATTTGAACTCATGGTTGGCCATGTGGCTTTCAGCACTGCAGTTGGGCACATTATCACCTATGCCAAAGTGAATGAATATAGTTTGCTAGTATTTTGATGAGCATTTTTGCTTCTATGTTCATAAAGGATATCAGCCAGCAGTTTTCTTTCCTTGCGTCTGCTTTTGGTGTTAGGGCAATGCAGGTCTCTTAAAATGAGATTGGAAGTGTTCCTTTCAGTTCAATTTTTGGGAAGAATTTCAGGAAGATTGGTATTAATTCTTGAAATGTTTAGTAGAATTCTCCAGTGAAGCCATCTGGTCATGGGCGTTTCTTTGTTGGAAGACTTTTTATTATTGATTCAACTTCTTACTCATTATTGGTTTGTTCACAGTTTCTATTTCTTGATGATTCAGTCTTGATAGGGTGTGTGTTTCTAGGAATTTATTCATTTCATATAGGTTTTCCAATTTGTTGGCACGCAGTTCTTCCAGCTTCTTATAAAGGATACTTACATGGTATTTAGAGACCACCAGGATAAGTTCCCCATCTCAAGATCCTTAATTTAATCACTTCTGCAAAGTCCTGTATAAGCTAACCCATGGATTGAATTTTCTCCATCAAATTCATATATTGAAGACCTTATCTCAATACTTCAGAATGTAACTGGATTTGGAGATAGGGTCTTTGAGGAGGTAATTAAGTTAAAATGAGGTCAATAGAGTGGGCTTTAATCCAATAAGACTGGTGTCCTTGGGGCCAGCAGGTGTGTGGTGGTTAAGGCACATGGCCAACCCCATGATTTGAGTCCTAGATCCATTGACTAGAAAAACATTCCAGGAGCATGTGCATGTGCCAAAAGTCCTGAGAGCAGCATGGAGGAGAGGGGATTGCAGCATGGCCATCTCCTCTAGGGGTGGGGGTGATTTCTCACTTTCCTTCTCTGTCACTATCTAGTGAGTATATATACCCTAAAGTACAAAAAAAACTTGTGTCCTTATGAGAAGAGATAGGACA